CCCCAAAACCCCAAAACCCCAAAACCCCAAAACCCCAAAATTTACATCCGAATTTGAAGCTGTATTTATTTTATAAAATGGCAGCACAAAGCTGGCACGTTATTAATGGAGCAAAGCACTACCCAGTGCTTTACAGGGAAGTATTGGCTTTTTACAATACTTTTTACCCTCAGTATTGGGAACAAAGAGGTAAATGTATGACTGAGAGATGTAGACTCAGGACGACGTAGAAAAACCAACTATTTTTACCTCGCAGATGGCACATTTGGAGGTGGAAATCATAGCAAATTGTTATTAAACCAGTTTAAGCAAATGAAAATAGCAGGTATACCATATCTAAGGATATTTAGGATATGACCTTGACCCTTCTATGATTGAAAAAGCTGAGAAAAACTTTGAAGATGAGATTTACTCCCAAAAGAGACTTCAGCTAGTCAATGATAATTTTATCAACATTGAGTAATGTTTTGTGACTAATTATCTGTAGAACTTATGATACCAGACCTCCAAGAAAATTTAATTCAATCTTTCTTGATCTTGGCTTTAGTCAGTAAGCTCAACCTTATCAAAGCTTACATCAATAGATACCAAGTAGCAGATCAAGATAGAGGGTTTTCATATTTGAGTGATGGGTATCTTGACATGCGATATGCACCTGACAGACATGCTGAAGGTATTCCTTTTACTCAATTTTAGGTAGTACTGCTGCTGATATTCTCAACAAATGTACTCATTATGAACTAGTAGAAATCTTCAAAAGATGTAAGTTCCTATTCTCAGTCTCTAGACGATCCTCATGCTGAGAAAATAGCAGAAGCAATCTGAGATGCGAGAGAAAGAAGTATAATAAACACAGCTTCTGATCTAAAGAATGTTCTTTTTGATGTTTTTCCTGGTCTTGCACGCAGCCAGAAGTATAATAAAATAATGAAGGTCTTCATGGCACTAAGAATCTCAGTGAATAACGAATTAATAGTCTTGGATGAGTACTTATACAAAAATCCTGTACTAGGAATGGCAAAGAATGGTTCAATGGTGATTATTAGGTAATATTTTGTCATAATTCTAGCTTCCATTCAACTGAAGATCAGGTTGTGGCAAAGCATTTCAGAAGATGGAAGAAGCTAAAGTACGGCCAAGAGGTATTCAAGAAGGTTCTCACTCCCAGCAAGGAAGAACTCGAAGAAAATCCTGCCTCTCGGTCTGCCAAGATGAGGGTCTTCATGAAAGAATTTGAATAAGTTCAATCGGTGAAGAAGCTTAAGGGGTTTTGGGGTTTTGGGGTTTTGGGGTTTTGGGG